TTTCCGACGCCGCCGCCGCTGCCCCCCGCAAAGGCCAAGTGTTTCCAGATCTTCTCTCGGGCTTCGGCGGGCTCGCGCGGGCTCTGAGGCGGCTGGTGGGCCGCGGGGGTCATCGAAGCCGGTTCGAAGCTCCACCCTGCGTTTATTTTGAATGACGCCAGGGTCGTGGAGCTCATGGTCGGCTGGATCGGCTCGCGCCGAATCGGGGGCATCTGGTTGGCCTCCCCCTGCTCGACACGGAGCGTTGCCTCTCGCCAGCGCTCGGAGATTTTTGGCCGATTTGACCTGGGCTTTCTCGGTCTGGAGCGCGCGCCAGCTGGGGGCCGACCCCTGGCTGCCGCGTTGTATCGTCGGGGCTTGCTCGCGCGCGGGCGTGCCCGTTGTAGCCGAGAGTCCCGCTAGCAGTTTCGCTTGGTTTACGCCGGATCTGCAACGATTAGCTCGACGGAAATCTCGTCAACAGCTCACCGTCGATTTCTGCCAATCCCATAGCCCCTGGAAAAAGCGGACTACCATGTTGGCCTGGCATCTTCCCGGACATCCGACGTCTCGTTTTTTTCGAGACGCGGGCCCCCGACCTCCCGACCACTGCCCTGGGGCCGGCTTTTCGTCCCGAGCCGTTTTCTGACGGCCCCGAGGTCTGGCGAGGGCCCCGAGAGGCCGAGAAGTATGAAAAGCCGCCGCCTCGATTCTTTCGAGGCGCCCGACGTCTGGGTCAACCTTCCTCCGCGGAAAACCATGAAAAACCGCCGCCTCGATTCTTTCGAGGCGCCCGACGTCTGGGTCCACCTTCCCCCGCCTCCCCTCCTCTCGCTCGTGCAAAAGCCCGCCGACGGCCGACCTTGTTTCTCTGCTGGGCCCGCTCGTCCGGGTCCGGTCCCCGAGGGGGTCCCGCCAGACAGGGGCCGCTCGCGCCGAGCCGCATCCCTCGGGGCTCTGTGCGGTCGGCGCTCGCGGGCTCCGGGCCTCGGCTCTCTCTCTCTCTCTCTCTCTCTCTCTCTCCCTCCCTCCCTCCCTCCCTCCCTCCCTCCTCCCTCTCTCTCTCTCTCTCTCTCTCTCTCTCTCTCGTCTCTCTCTCTCTCTCTCTCCCTCTCCTCTCCTCCCCTCCTCTCTCTCTCTCTTTTTTTTTTTTTTTTTTTTTTTTTTTTCTCTCTCTCTCTCTCTTCTCTCCCCTCCCCCTCCCTCCCTCTCTCTCTCTCTTTCTCTCTCTCTCTCTCCTTCTCTCTCTCTCTCTCTCTCTCTCGCTCCCCCGCTCGCCTTTCCCCCCGGCCCGCCTGCAGCAGCGGGGGCTCGGGCAGGCTGCATGGTGCCCCAGGGGGTGCTCGCAGGCACCAGGCAGGCCCCTCCGGCCGGCGCAGCAGAAGCATCGTCGACCAGACCTGCTCAGCAGAGGCGCTCATCGGAGGAAAAAAAAAACGCACGTGAGGATATCGAGGATCTCTCTCTCTTTCGAGGGTGTTCGTCTGGGCGCGATCGCAGGCGCAGGAGTTCCTGTGCGCCTGCCTCTGCGGCGCGGGCGCGGCGTGGGGATCGGGGGCCTGGGCGACCACCGCCGGGCCTCCCTGTCCCTGGCCGCCGTTGCGCGTGACGCAGGTCTCCATGGTATCCAGCGTGTGGCCGGGTCCTACGTGCTGTCCTGGCCCCGCTGCAGAATGCGCTCAGAGCCTCTGGGGAAAGCAGCGCCGAGCCTGCTAGCAGGTCCGTCCTCTCGAAGCAGGTTGCTGAGCAGGTGGGCGCATGGCCGCTGGCCTGGCGGCTCAAGCTCCCGTCCTCGCCCCCTCCACCTCCATCTTCTCTGCCCTCGTGCCTCGGGGGGTCTGGGCGCCCACCGCCGGGCCTTCCTGTCCTTGGCCGCCATGGCTCGTGAGAGTGTGTCCGACCGGTTTCCATGGCATCCATCGCGCCGCCGACTCTTGTAATAATGGTTTGGCTCTATGGAGAAGGCGCGTTGAGCCTTTGGAAAAAAACATCGTCGAGCTTGCCCTCCTCCTCCTCCTCCTCCTCCTCCTCCTCCTCCTCCTCCTCCTCCTCCTCCTCCTCCTCCTCCTCCCCCCCTTCTCCCCCTCCCCTCCCTTCCCCCTCCCCTCATCCTCCGTCCTCTTTCTTATCCCCCTCCTCCTCTCCTTTCTTCCCTCATCAATAATTCCTCCGTTCGCACCCAGGTGTTTCGCCTGAGACTTCTCCCCGTTCACTATCCTAAACCTTGAATTTTTGCAACAGCTTCACGGATGGAGGGTGGGTCGATTTCAACATGTGGTTCTCGCGTTAGCACTGCGCGCGCTCTTTCAAACCAATGCGGCAGCTTCAATCACGGAGGGCGGGCGGTTTTCAAAATGTGGCCCTCCTTTTTTGCCGCGTAGGTTCGTTTTGCGCGCAGCGGCTTGACGGATCGAGGGCGGACGGTTCTCGAAATGCGGCCTTCTCTTTCGCGGCGCGCACCCGCGTCTATAATTGTGCGGCGTTTTCGAGGATGAAGTGCGGTTGTTGTTGAATCGTGGTTCTCGCCTAAGCCTCACGCACATCCGTGTTACAAGTACAGCAGCACGGTCGAAACCCCAGGAATGGTATTCTGGCCAATACATAGGGCGCAGCAGTCAAAATGATCCGCGGTGTTGAAGTCCCAGGAAGGGTGATCTGGCATGACTTGGGATTACAAGGACGCGGCAATCATGTCGATCCGCGACGCGGAAGTCCCAGGAACTGTGTTTGGGCATGGTGGAGGGCTTTCACACGGTTGTCTTCCGCTGGGGCATTTCCCGCAATGCAGATGATGAGCTCTTGTATGGCCATACGGAAAGGGAACTTTACCGCAACATCATTGACGCGTTTGTGGTCTGCATTGGTCCTCCTCCTCGTCTTCCTCCTTCTCCTCCTCCTCCTCCTCCTTCTCCTCCTCCTCCTCCTCCTCCTCCTCTCTTCTCCCATCTACCTCCTCATCATATTTCCTCTTTCTCCTCCTGCACAATTACACAATATGAGTACTACTCTCCCCTCTTCCCTGCCATTGTCCGGAAGCTTGTGCCCCCTCTCCGCACCCTTTTGTCTTATACAGGATTGTGCCGAGCTGTTTTCGTCCCATGTGTTTTGACCATCTGATTGTTTTCTTTTTCCAGAAATTGTGCTCCCGGTGCAGCGCGGGACTCATTTTCGGATCGACGCTGCGCTCCTGTCGTTCAAGGTGGCGCTCTCGCCCCAGCATGGGCTACTTTTCCGGATTCGTTTTTTTTGTTCGTCGTTGTCGCCACTTTGCTTTCCCCTCCTCCGCCTTCCCCTGATCCTCCTGCTCATCCCACTCCTTCCACTCGAGTTCCTGCTGCTCCTACTTGTCCTTGTCCTCCTCCTGCCTTCTCCTCCTCCTCCTCCTCCTCCTCCTCCTCCTCCTCCTCCTCCTCCTCCAGGTCCTCCTGCTCATCCTCTTGCTCACCCGCCAACTCCTCATTTTCCTCCTCCTCCTCCTCCGATGTGCGCAGCTCCCATTTTACCGATTGCGCCTTGCACGATCGAGTTTTTTTTTCTGAGTTCCAGCTCGGCCATTACGCGCGTCCGCGGATGGGCAATCACACGCGACCGCGGATGAAACAGAAATCACCACAGGAGGAGGCGGAGGAGGAGGAGGAGGAGGAGGAGGAGGAGGGAGGAGGAGGATCACAATGGGAAGGGATGGGAGGGAGGGAGAGGATGAATGTCAGATAGGGCTGCAGCGCGCCTAGCTTGCCTCCCACCCGATCTCCCTCCTCCTCCTCCTCCTCCTCCTCTTCTTCTTCTTCTTCCTCCTTCTCCTCCTCCTCCTCCTCTTCCTCCTCCTCCTCCTTTCCTTCCTCTTCCTCTTCCTCCTCTCCCCCCTCAGCTCTTCGTCGTCCTCCTTCGCGGCGTTTGGCGTTGGGTGCTACAATTCACACGTCACGAGTACGTGGCTTGGTGGGCTTCGGCAGCCCTGTGCTGAGAGAGTGCCGTCTGTAGACTCGAAGCTTTGTTCTGCAGTTGCTAGCTGTGCGGGGGAATGGATGCATGGGCGCCAACAGGGTGAGCATCTCATCGAACGTTACCTATACGGGCGCATCCATAGGCATCACTTGTCTGTTGTCGTGGACGGCGCGGTTGGGCAGCCTACCAGCGCCACTGCCTCCACGTCTCCGAGGTCCAGGTTCTGTGGGAGCTCAACAGTTGGCATGCGGACATGTGCGAGGTGGTGCCCTGCAACGCCCGCAAGTGGAGGCCGCGGGGGCTGTGGCGGCTCCGTCGACCGCGGACGCCCTCGGCTTCCAGAGTTCCGGATTTCTCATTTCTGTTCCTCCTCCTCGGGTTCCTGATCGGCGGGCTCTCCATCCTCCGCGGTGGGTGGATGTGTGTGTGCTCGGGGCGGTTTCTCTCGGCCTCTCTCTACTCCTGCGCGTTCGCAGGTGTCACTGCCCGCTCTGCCACCCCGTCTTCTCTGATCGGGCTGCTGTCCCTTGGGCGCAGTGGGCCAGCCCTCGAACTCTGAATCCCGCCCAGCCCACTTGCTCTTCGTCCCTGCTGATGGGGACCAGGGTGAGTACGCCTCCTTGGGGGGTCAGTACCCCACCTCCCCACCCTTGAGGAGGGAGAGCTCCTGGGGGAGCGGCGGGCGCGTGGGGCGCCTCCCGCCCGTTGGACGCGTGGGGCGTCTTCAGCATCCAGTTCGTCGAATTCAGCCGCGCGCATCTGAGGTGCGCCGCCCGTCCGCTGTCGCGGGCCGAGGCTGGCTACGCAGCCTCGCCTCTTCGTGCTGCTGCCCCTGCTGCTCCCCCCTCCTTCTCCCTCGTGCTCCTGCCCCCTCGCAGGCGTGCCTGCTCCTCCTCCTCCTACTCCTCCTACTCCTTGCCCCTCCCCCCCCTCCCTCGTGCTCCTCCTCCTCCTCCTCCTCCTCCTCCTCCTCCTCCTCCTCCTTCGTGCTCTTCCCCCCTCCTCCCTTCTGCTGCCCCCCTAGCAGACGTGCGAGGGAAGCTGGGCGGGCCCGATGGGGGGACGGGTCGGCCGAGGCGTCGCGGCGGCCGCCCTGGCCGCGCCCCTCGTGGTGGGCGAGCTCGTGTGAGCCTGCCAGCCTCGCGCGCTTTGGCCGAGCCTGCGGGCGCCGTCGCAGCTGGGCGGCGCCCAGGCGGCGTGCTCCAAAAGGGGCCTCGCGTTGTCGTCGCCCGCGTGCCTGCTGCCGAAGGGAAAGGAGGAGGAGGGGGAGGAGGAGGAGGAGGAGGAGGAGGAGGAGGAGGAGGAGGAGGAGAAGAGGAGGAGGGGAGGAGGAGGGGAGGAGGAGGAGGAGGTGGAGGAGGAGGAGGAGGAGGAGAAAGAGAAAGAGGAGGAGGAGGAGGTGGAGGAGGAAGAGGAGGAGGAGGATGAGGAGGAGGATGAGGAGGAGGAGGAAGAGGAGGAGGAGGAGCTCCCAAAGGGGCCTCGCGTTGTCGTCGCCCGCGTGCCTGCTCCCTCGTCAGCGTGTTGCTGCTGAAGAATCGACGACACGTGGGGGTGACCCTTCGCCGGAGTGACCTTTGGTGCGGGCCCACTTGGGTCCCCCGATGGCCGAACGCGATGCGGTATGCGCGGTCGTGTTTGGTCCCCCCGCGGCCCCCAAGAAGCCGCGCACCAAAGGTCACTCTTACCAAAGGTCCAAAGGTCACTCTTGAGTGTAGTCGGAAGGAGCACGCCAGGCCTTCGGACAAGGAGGAACGAGCAGCAAGCTGACGGGCTTCAGCGGCGGCGTGCCGTTGATCAGGGTGACGGGGCCGAACGATCTCACAGAGTCTCTGGGCGGGCTGGGGCCTCGCGTTGTCGTCGTCGTTGGGCTGGGCGCCGTCGTCGCCGGGCTGGGCCCTTTGTCCGTCGAGGGAGCAGAAGGGGCACGAACGTAAACTGTCCGCGGTCCGCGCGGATCTCTCGAATCGGCGCTGGAGCCCCGTGGCGGCGCCTCCGGCGCCGGTCCAAGAAGCCAGCGCGGACTTCCGAAAGTTCACTTCTATGCCGTTCTCTTGGCATCGCTCGGACGTGTGCATTTTTTCACGGCGAGAGCCATCGAGGACCATCCTGGACCATCGAGCAAAAAAAACACGCACGAAACCGAAAAATTGCACAGGAAATGGACGTCCGAGCGATGGCGAGTTCTTGGTTCCTCAACTCAGTCGGAGAAGGAAGAGGTGCTCATGCCGCTGCTCATCCTGGAGAGCCCTCGCCAGCACAGCTGGGTTCTCTTCGGAGTTCTGGTCAGAGCGCACCCATGGGAAAGGTCTGGGGAGCAGCGGTAATGGTACCTGCTGTGTCCCCCCACCGAAATGGGGCCTCGCGGGCTTGGGTCGAGAATCTCGGCGTCGTCAGCGCTGGGTTGGGCGCTCCAGAAGAGGGGCGTCGCCTTGCAGAGCCCCTCGCGTCGTGGGCAAATCGTGACGGCATGTTTTGGGCTGTATTCGGCACTCGGGGGCCCTCTCCGGGCCCCGGGGGCTGTCGACAGAGCGGTCTGGGGTGAGAAGCGGGTCCTTGGAGAGAGGTCGAAGCCTCCAGGGCTGCGCGCTTCGACAGCATATGACGACGACGTCGGGGGCCTGGGCCTTCCCTGTGAGACGGAGATGGAGTGGTGCAGGTATTCGCCCCCGATAGAGCTGGCGTTCGCGAACATGGCGGCCATGCACAAGACTGCCGGCGAGATGTCGTCGAGGATCAAGCGCGACGACGAGGCCTCCGGCTTCGCTCACGCTCGGGAAGAGAGGGCCCCACCATCAGCGCCAGCATCGTGAATTACCACCAGCAGCACCATCATCATAATACAGCCGGGGTGCTGAAGAAGGAACCCTTTTCGTTGGGGAGGGGCTCCGTGTTCCTTGATTGTTTCACAGCTTGCCTTAGGTTTTCGATGGGAAATCGAACTTCAACTGATGGGAAAAAGGGGCCTTGTTCCTTAGTTAGGGTTCCTTAGGTCAACGCCTCGGCTGTATAGTGTGACTTCAGTCCTGCCTTCGACATTGCTGCGAGTGCTTCGCACGAGTGCGCGCGGCGCTGATGCGAGAGCCACCTCTTGACGAGGAGCCGCCCTCCATCCTCGGAGTTGATGCCAACACATTTCAGACGACGGTGCGCGGCGCAACGGCGAGAGCACCATTTTGACAGCCGCCCGCCTTCCATCTTTCAGCATTCGGGATCATACATTCCGAGGAAGTCTCAGGCGAACCTCGGGCGAAACGCATGGGCCGCCCCGACACGTCTGGGGATGCGGCAGGGACGTGTGAGAAAAAGAGGTGGTGGAGGAGGATGAGGAGGAGGAGGAGGAGTGAGGAGTGAGGAGTGAGGAGTGAGGAGTGAGGAGTGAGGAGTGAGGAATGAGGAGTGAGTGTGGAACAGAAGAGGAGAAGAAGGAGTAGGAGGCGGAAGCCGTTCGCTTCGGCCCACGTCTGTGTGATGTAGATGAGGATGGAACAACGTACAGCAGGAGGAGGAGGAGGAACAGGAGGAGGAGGAATAATAATAATGAGAGTAATAGTAATAAGAAGAAGACGAATAAGACGAATTATAATATTAATACGAAGAATAATAATACGGAGAATAGTGATAATAAT